GTGGCCTTATGACACACTTCCGGTGATGTCAAGGGGGGTGGCCTTATGACACACTTCCGGTGATGTCAGGGGGCGTGGCATATGCTAATGAGTTATGCTAATGAGTTCCCCTAGCTCTTTTTCTACGAAACGACCCCTGTCAGTAGCTATTACTGACCGTCACCAACTCCCCCGAGTTCTTTAAGCACAGCAAATTCTGGAAACTGGATGGATCCGTTTTAAACTTTATGTTGGTCTTTGGCTGTATTCGGACATTACTGCAAACAAGTTTGTTCATAAGGGGCACAAACACAGCTGGGTTTCTATTTCTTTGCTCTCACATCTTGATTTAGGAAACCCAGAATCAAAGCGCAGTTCACCCTGACTTCCACATTGGCACTTGGGCAAATTTGGGAGTTGGTTGCCTATCCTCTTTCACCCCCTCCCCAAACCAGGTTTCTGAACTGGGGTTAAGCAGAGGTATATAATCTCAGATGGCAGGGAACAAAAGCCAGTTTTGTCTAGGCACCTTCAGGTTCCTCAAGCACAGAAAGCCTTCAATTGTGCACTGCACACCTGGGGAGGAAAGGCGTTCCCAAACTGCCAGAAGCTACATTCATACCCATCAGATGAAGCTGTCAATCATGATGCCTGACCACAGCCACTGGTGGGATGGCTCCAGAGGCCAACAGGAAGCAAAAGACTGGTGGGGTCAAAGTCTGTTTTGTCTCCTGCCCAGCCGGAGCCTTTTCCATGCAGAGAACTTGGGGAAAGAGAGCGCTACCTAGCTACATGCCAGGCAGGCGTCAGAAAAATATTTGTGGCCCTTAATGGTCCATTTACATATGCTAGTTACGCAACGCTTTTCTCATATTGTTGCAGCAATCTTCACATACTTTAGCTCTTTCCCAACAGTTCTCTTACAGACATCGATATCATGTGCCCATAAACACGCACGCCCCAAAGGAGGAGTCACCCTACTCCAGCAGGCACATTGCTGTCAAGCATCCCTACAGGAATGAGGGCGGAGCATCCATCAGGCTAAGGAGCTCCAAGCAGGGACTCCGTCCTTGTTCAATTCCATTGCAGGGACGGGCCCAATCAATAGAAAGAGATGGTATCTGTGCACATGACAGCCCCAGGCTTACGCTCACTTTCACTTGCTTATTTTTGTCAGCTTTGTTAGGCTTAGCCATCCCAGTCTTATTGTGGCTCAGAGCCACTGAGCCATACCATGGTTCCCAGAAATCTCCTCAGGGAGGGGGGCTCCCTTCCCTACTATGACCACATTGGTGAGATGCAGGGAAGGGAGTAAGTAATACAAAAGATCAAACTGTGCATGAATAATGAGATGTGATACATCACAGTAATTGGTCTTATGTACATAGACAAAGAAATAGATGCTGTGTATTATTCAGTACTGGAGCTGGGTGGTTTTGGTGTGACCTTTGAGGAAGGAAGGTGATACGGCAACTTGAAGCTAGTGAGGCTGTGTAGCTATTACACAAGCGATAAGACAGGGATTTTTGTGACGTGGAATTATAAACATCTATATTTGGACGTCTCCATGTTTTGAGGAATCTGACTTGGACTATTTCTGAAGGTGTATTAACAGGGCTGTTTTTTGTACTCGGACCATGTACTTCTGAGTTTCTGATTACTGTATTGTATTTCTGAAAAACTATTTATATAGGTTTAGATTATTATACTCAGTGATTGTTGAATATATTTTTCATTATTTATGCACGGTTTGATCGCTTGTATCTTTTGTAAATCTTCCCCTTCCCCTGAAGAGAGAAAGGTGGGGTGGGCCTCAATTACCACAGCAGTGAGGGGAAAGTGGATGGCTGCAGAATGAAAAATCTGGGCCCACATGCAAAAGAGATCTTGGGGTAAGGGTGGACTGTAAACTAAATACGAGCAGTCAGTGTGATGCGGTGGCAAAAAAGGCAAATTCAGTCTTGGGTTGTAGTAAAAGGGCCATAGCATCGAAATCGTAGGTCATAGCCCCTCTGTATACTGCCATGGTCAGGCTGCACTTGGAGTACTGAGTGCGGTTCTGAAGGCCTCACTTCATAAAGCAGTGATGGCGAACCTTTTAGAGACCGAGCGCCCAAACTGCGACCGAAAACCCACTTATTTATCGCAAAGTGCCAACACGGCAATTTAACCTGAATGCTGAGGTTTTACTTTAGAAAAAACAACTCATACATTAACTTAAGATGATCCAAACAAAGTAAGGAAAGCAATCCCAAATGCTTTCATTTACTTAAAATTATTTGGCAGAGAATTCGACACTTTAATGATGGTCTGGGCCTGGCTGGGGCGATGGCACGCATGCCCACAGAGAGGGCTCTGAGTGCCACCTCTGGCCCCCGTGCCATGGGTTCGCCACCACTGTCATAAAGGATGTGGACAAAACCGAGAGGGTGCAGAAGAGAGCAACCAGGATGGTCAGGCGTCTGGAGACTGAGCCCTACGAGGAAAGGCTGAGGGCCTTGGGAATGTTTAATTTGGAGAACAGGAGATTGAGGGGGGACATGATTGCTCTCTTTAGGTATTTGAAAGGATGTCATTTGGAGGAGGGCAAGGAGCTGTTCCAGTTGGCAGCAGAGGATAGGACCCGAAGCAACGGGTTTAAATTACATGCAGAAAGGGATCGGCTGGATATTAGGAAAAACGTTTTCATGGTCAGAGTGGTTCAAAGGTGGAATCAGCTGCCTAGGGAGGTGGTGAGCCCCCCTTCACTGACAGCTTTCAAGAAGAGGCTGGGCGAATATTTGTCAGAGATGCTCTAGGCTGATCTTGCATTGGGCGGGGGGTGGGACTAGATGGTCGGTATGGCCCCTTCCAGCTCTATGATTCTATAACATCCTCAGCCCCAGCCGAATAACCAAGACATTATAGCTTCTAGCTGAAGGAGACAACAAAATGTTAAAGGGAAATTTTTTTAAAAGGAGATAGCAACAATCCTTTTTTAAAAAGAGCCACCACAGAAGGAAAGAGAGAAACTAATAGGAAACCATGAAGAAAAGGACACCAAGTGTGCATGGGGAGAGGGGGTTGTGTCACAACAGCTTTATTAAATAAAAAAAGACTCAAGTCGTCTCAAAGATCACAGCCAAATTTCAGCTCTTTTTCATCTCTCCTTTTTAGAAAGGTGCAACACTGCAATTCCATGATACAGCAGCCGAAGTCAGGCGAGGAGGGAGGGGGCACAGCAGTGAACACTGAATAGCAACGTTCATGCCTCCCACCCTCCACTAAATTCCCTCAGAAGCATCCAGGATCGGAGGTCAATTCAGGGGATGGTGTTCAGCTCCTCACTTCATTCCACCCCACCCCCATTCCCTCTTAAAGGGCCTCCCTCATTAGAGCCCCCTTCCCAGGCTCCCTCAGAGGCTTATTCGACTTAGGTAGGAGGGACAGAGAGCTCTGATGAGCAAAAGGGGCGGGGAATTTCTAAGTAAGCTCCTCCCATCATTCTCGACGTCTGCCCTTCCTCAGGTCTCAGCTACGTATTATGGAAAAATGAGGCGACAGAATTCTGAGGTGTCAAAATGGGCTGTACCACTTCAGACTGCGGGGGGGGGGGGGGGAGGCACATTTTTAATTCCTTCCCAAACTTGCACTCCGTGAATAGCCGGACTTCACTTCCTTCCTGTCCCAGTATTCTACTGGATCTCAACTTCAGGATGCTGCTGGGTCTGAGGAGGTTCTGCTTGGTTCTGTGGAGCAGCATGTTCCGGCGCTCCAGGGTGTGAATCAGGTGGGACTGTCTGGTCTGCAAAGAGAAGACAAGAGATTGTGGCTGCTGCTGTACTATGGTTCTAGTATTCACATTCACTCAATCAGACTCAGAATCTCTACTCTGCCCCTAAACGTGGCCAGGCCTATATCCCGGGGGGGGGCACTTGGGGGCAATGCCCCCACAGATGAGCACTGCCCCCCTCAGACAAAAAAAATCACAAGAAAATCCAGAAAAAAAATTTTTTTTTAATTTTTTTTTAATGTAAGATGTGTGTGGGTGTTCCAAAATGACCCCAGGCACAGCCAGGGAAGTTTCAGTCTCGTTTTTCCCCCCCTGGCCAAAAAATAAACCATTTTTTACAAAAACAAAATAAAATAAAATAGCAACAAATAAAATAAAATTGCGAAATGCAAAATTGAGAGAGCTGGAGATCCCACCCCCCAGCTTACACAGAAAAGCAGCCTGGAATTGAGTCTCTCCAATCGAAAGGACTGGAGGACTAGAGGTTGCACTGCAGCCGGAGCTGCTTCTTCTGCTGCTGCAAGAGGAGCAGCAGGTGCAGGTGCAGGTGCAGGTGGGGTGCCCCCCCAGATTTCCCCATGCCCCACCAACCAAAATTTTCTATCGACTCCCCTAAATATGGCGCTTAAATTGCTATAGGAGTCCCCAATGTGGTGCCCATGGGTGCCATGGTAAGTAACCTCCAGCACCTTTTCCGGCGCCCACCAAGCACTTTTAGGAAGTGGGTGGGGCCAGATAGGGCTTTTGCCCAGCAAGGCTTCTGACCAGTTGTGCAGATTTTTTAAAGTGTTGCTTTGGCAGCAGCTCCCACCACAGCACAAGGATCTGCACTGTGTTCCTGGAGTGGCAATCCTTTTGTGGCTGGCTCTGCCTCCAGTGGCGGGCATTTTGTCGCTGCGCCCACCGCACTGTGTCAGAATCCCAAAGGTGCCCACAGGCTCAAAAAGGTTGGGAGCCCCTGCTACAGAAAATCCATCTTGGCACCTGTGCAAGTAGGACCAAGGTGCCTGCGGTGCTTTCTAAGATGTCAACAAATCGCACTGCCCACATGGTCAGGTGCTAAACCCTCCCAGGAATACTCGGCCGCCCAACTCCTTTCCCATGTAAGGAGACGAACTCCATCCAGAGAATCCAGGGAGTTTCTGGCTCTCACCTGCTGGGGCTGCGTGGGGAGGCTGCGCCTGAAACTTCAGCTCACCTCCCGGTCCTGCCGGGTGTCCTTGCTCAGCCTGTGGCTGAGATTTCCTCTGTTCCATTTGGAGCACAGCCTGCAAGAAGCATACAGTTAAATAGGTTCTCTCTCACTCCCGCACATCTAAAACGGTAGTAAATCTGACCAGCCAGCTCTCTCCCTCTCCCCCTTTCCATCCACCTAATGCAGCAGCATCTTAGGATTCTGCATCAAGCCCTCTTTGAGAGGCTGTAGCACAATGCCAGAGCACCTGCTTAACATGCAGGTGGCTCCAGTTTCAATCCCTGGCATCTCTGCTTAAGAGAGCTGCAGGGAAATACTACTGTTTCGTTGGGGGGGGGGGTTGCTTGCGATACTACTCAACAGCTGCCAATCAGAAAGGGCAATATTGAGTTATATGGGCCAATGGTAAGGCACCTTTACATGTCTGGTGGTGGGAAGTGCCGTCAAGGCACAGCTGACTTATAGCGAATCTGTAGGGTTTTCAAGGCAAGATATGCACAGAGGTGCTTCGCTCGCCATTGCCTGCCTCCGCGTCACAACGCGGGAATTCCTTGGAGGTCTCCCATCCAAATACCACCCAGGGACGACCCTGCTTTGCTTCCGAGATATGACCAGATCAGGCTAGCCTGGTCTGTCCAGGTCAGGGTTTTTGTGTGCCTATCCATTAACAATTTTTTTGTTGTTTCTTGTGCCTGGCAAGCCTCACACATATATTATCTGTAAGAGTCAAAAGGCAAGACGCTGCCAAAGAACTGACATGTTAGGCTACATCAATTAATATCCAGAAGTGCCTGCCTATAAAAAGATCACCAGGAACTTATTTATGGGCTTCGCCAATCCACGAAACTCCACTGCCACCACCCTTCTCAGGAGAACCAGGTGTCCAAGAGTAAAAGCACACCAAATGCTTTCTTTCCTACACACACAACTAGAAGAGAGTGTACTCTCCGATGCTCCCTACCTGTTGGTACTCCTTCTTTTGAGCATCCAGCTGCACCTGCCGCTGTATAAGTTCATCGTGCTGCCGACGGAGCTGCTCTGCACGCCGGCCTAGCTCCGCCTCCTGGGCTACTAACTCCACCTCAAAGCGCTGAAGCTCCGCCTCGGAATAGACCTGCGTTTCTTCCACCGTCTGGATGGAGGAGGAGGAGGAGACAGAAAAGGAGCTGGATGGGCCATGGGCCCAGTTATTCCAGCAGGCTTACCCGCCCCTATGCTTCTTCCGCATGCATGTCCATCAATGTTTCCTCTGGTATTTCATCCCAGTTGCCAATTGCCAGATTCATAGCACATATTTCTAACTGAACGCTCAAATGGAAATGCAACAGCTAAACAGACATGTTAACTGGTAAGCAGCGTCGAACTTTCAACTCATCTTCTCTCAGAAAGTGGATTTCTGCTAACTTAGCTATTTTTCTTCAAAAGTTTTATTTCTAGATTAAAAGGGACCCCCCCACACCCCCCACAAGCACTAGAAGGTACCAGCGGTTTGGGCATTAGAAACTCCAGAATGTTTTCATAAGGCCCAAGTCCTGAATCCTCATATTAACATTAACCCATCATTTACTTGGGATACTGTGATTTACCCTTGAACCAGGGTGAATTACACAAGAACTCCTGTACTGTAGTGGAGAAGTCAGATCAGGGTAAAAAAAATTGCCCAGAGGCAGAAACATGCACTTTAATCCCCAGTCATATAATATTTAAGTCAAATCTCCTGCCGCAAGAGAATTAGCTTGACCACAAACTAAGCACTGCATACACACCCAACCTCTGGTCTCCAAGTAAGACGCTCTCTTCTCTAATGACTCACAGAAGTGACGGAGAAAGCATGCCAGTAGCGGTGGGTAGTTTGTTTTAACCCTGCGGCTAAAATTAGGAGCTTGCTGCAGGACTCGAGCAGGGAACCAGCTGCTACTAGCAATGCACCCTCTCTGCCCTTGAACCATGCCTCTGCGCCCCTCACACACCTTCCATCCATCGGCTTCGTTAAATTCCTTCTTCTGTGTCGATTTCAGAAACTCATCCAGGTTCACTAGCCTGTCCCGGTTTAGATCCACCTGCAAGAAAGAGAAGTCGTGTGATGCCCTCGCCTTCAAGAGGCTCCTTCCAGTTCCCAGCATCTACTCGTGTCTGATGAAGGAAGTTTGGACTCTCGAAAGCTTCTACTCTGAAACTCTTTGTTGGTCTCTAAAGTGCTACCGGACTCGAATTGAGCTGTCCCTTCTTTCAGACTTCTTTCCTGGAAAGTCTATCAGAGTTTAAGATTCCAGGACCGAAACGGGAATCACAGTTCTCCAACCTTCACCAGCAGTCCTTTGAAGAAGGGCAGCGTTGTCTCCTACACAGTGCAGAGAGAGACCCTGAAGGCTCCTCCGGGCAGAGGCAAGATTGGAGCCCAGTACAAAGCACCCCTTCAGTCACCACCCCTCAAAAGCAAACACACAGCCCCACCTGTATCCACCCCTCCTCACCGGACCGTGCAAAGAGACACCGCCCTGTTCCCCCACTCCACCACTCCTCTTTGCTCACATTTTTCATAACGTGTTCGCGCATGCGCAGCCGCTCTTCTTCCATTTCTAGCATGTCATCTTCCTCGTTACGGGGATCGTATACTTTCTCCAGCTGCAAGGTGGGGAGGAGGACAGGGGGTCAGATCCCAAGACATACAGTCAGGGGTCATTTCCTGCAGGAGCGCACAGGAGCGGAGCTCCGGCAGTAAAGAGCCCAGGGGGCAGGCACATGCAACAAGCCCCACCCCTTGCTCTCAGCAGCCCTCAGTCAGAGCAAGAAGCAGCCAGTTAAGTTGCAGAGCTCCCCCCAAGCCCCCCGGTCCAAAACAGTCCAGTGGCACCTTTAAGGCCAAGTTTTATTCAGGTACAAGCTCTCCCTCCTCTGTGAAGACAGATCTGCACATCCCCCCCCCCCCAATAGCTAGCAATCCAAAACAGTCCAGTGGAACCTGAGCGGTGGGTGTTGCCTTCTGGCACACTTCCAGTGATGTCAGGGGGCGCGGCATATGCAAATGAGTTATGCTAATGAGCTCCTGCACCTCTTTTTCTATGAAATGACCCCTGCATATAGTCATTCCCTTTCTCCAGTCCATAGTAAAGGCAGAGGGCTAAAAGTGGTGCTTTTGGGAAGCAAAAGCCCATTCTCGGCTTGAGGCAAGCCACTCTTTTAAAGCAAATGGTGATTCGCGGCTTGAGGGAAAAGATGATCGGGGGGGGGGGGGAGAAACACCCCGGTTCAAAACTACTAGCTACCAGTGTTCCCTCTAAGCTGAGTTGCTGTGAACTAGCTCACAGTTTTTTTAGCCTCTAGCTCACAGATTTTTCTCTTAGTTCAGGAAGGATGGCTCCAGAGCTGACTAATTTATGCAGTCGCCAAATCGGTTGCTCACAACTTTAATGCCAGTAGCTCACAAAGTAGAATTTTGCTCACAGGACTCCATAACTTAGCGGGAACATTGCTAGCTACCAGGGCTTAATCCCGGCTTGCAGAAGGAAAGCCATCTCCAGTGACCCCACGCGCTGGCATTTTGTATGTCGCTGGTGACTGGAGTTGGTTTGAAATCAAGATTCCCGCCTCTGCTCAAGAATGGAGGGGAGTACGTGAGTCTGGCAAGAAGCCGAATTTGTGCACATTCAGGCTTAACGTGATGTCTGAATGAGGCCAAACATGCCCTGTTGCACCAAGGGCCTGTGTCTCACACTGCACCACGCCAGAGCGCAGGGAGCTCTTGTACACCTGAAGTCTCCTCAACACAAAAGATTCCCTCCACACTGGAAGTTAGCCCACTATGAAGAGTTATAGTCATTTTAAAAGTTTATACCCCGCCTTTCTGCCCTCATGAGGGCCACCAAGGTGGCTAACAATATAAAACACGTATAACAAAAGCACATTTTAAAATGATTAAAATCACTCCCCCCCCCCACACACATCATTAAAACAAATTAAAAACAGAGTTAAAATATGAACGAAGACATAAAAATGGTAATTAAAACATTGGCCAGGAGGGAGGGATCACTGAGGGAATGTCAAATGAAACAAAAAGGTCTTCACCCATTGGCAGAAGATGGCAACAGATCAATCTCCCTGGGGAGAAAGTTCCAGAGCTTTGATGCCATGACTGAGAAGGCTTTGTTGGTCATGACACCGGCCTCCTCCTTGCCAATTTTCTCCTGTAGTGTTTTGTACGGAAGAGCACTTAAACGTGTGAGGGAAAACTTGGCCAAGAACTCACCTCCTTGGTGAAAAGAGCCTCTAATTCCTGCTCGTCTAAGACCCCATCGCTGTTGGTATCTGGAAGTGGGAGGGGAAATAGAAGGAGAGAAACTGAGTTACAGGAACAGCCATGAACACCTCAGGTGACTTTAGACGAGCTGCTGGCTCTCTGTGCCTCAGTTCCCCAATTTTCAACAGGGGAATAACAACAATGGCCTCCGTACTGTGATTGTTTTAAGGACCAGACCATGTAAGGGATGAACTTTACAGGCAAAGCCTTTTTATGGCCAATGTCAAATACGTATTATTGAGGAAAGATGTCTGGAGGCAGCAACAAACAAAATTTTCCTTTCTCTGACCAGTAGATGGAGATGCAGGCCCATCTTCCATTTCTTGTACACCTAAAGTCCCTCAGCCTCAGAACAGGATTCAGAGTCGTGAGGTGGAGCCAGGCAATGGGAAGCCACCTCTGAACCTCTCTGGCCTTGAAAGCCCCACCAGAGGTCAATATAAGTCAGCTGTGAGCCAAACCCCTACTCCCAACACACACACAATTAAGTCCCCCATCTGCAGGCTCAAAGGAAAATTTAACAAAAAACAGACTTCTAAATAACTTCCCTGATATCCCATATATCATAAGCCTTGAAGAGTTCCTCTCAGGGAAGCCGGAGTAGCATAGCGGTTAGATGTTGTGGGAGGACTGCCAAGAGCTGTGTTCAAATCCCAGCTCAGCCATGGAGTTCGCTCTGTTTCCTTGGGCTGGCCACACTCTCTCAGCCTAACCTACCTCACAGGGTTTCAGGGCTCTTTTTGTAGAAAAAACCCAGCAGGAACTCATTAGCATAATAGGCCACACCCAACAGCAGAAATTCATTTGCATATTAGGCCACACCCCTGCCAGCACAGCTCATTAGCACATTAGGACGCACCCCCATGTTACCAGAAGTGTGGTTATCCAGCCACACCCACCTTTTGCTTCTTATTCTGTTTACCTTGTTTGTGGTCAAAACCCAGGGCTTTTTTTGTAGCAGGAACTCCTTTGCATGTTAGGCCACACATCCCTAATGTAGCCGATCCTAATGAATTTCTGCTGTTGGGTGTGGTCTATTATGCTAATGAGTTCCTGCTGGGTGTGGCCAACTTGGGAGCCAGCCGGAACTCCGTTCCTGTGTGTTCCTGCCCACAAATAGCCCTGGTTGTTGTGCAGATTATACACAAGAGGGGGAGAGCGTCTTTGCCACCCTGAGCGTCTCAGAGGAAAGAACAGTTGGCTAAAATACATTAGCTAGAATACATTAGCAAACACCCCCCCTCCCCGCGCGCAAATTACCGTGCAAGTTGAAGAAGGTCTTGGGATTGAACTCATTGGGATCTAAGCCATCTGTCTCCTGCCAGACTTCCTTGAGTTGATCTTGGCTTCCCTGCGTGGGATTATACATCAGGTGGTCAAGGCACACTGAAAGAATTTGCCACATTCCCACAGAGGCATCTGAAATTAAAAGCAAGCAAACAGAGGTGCCTCCCTACCGGGGCATTGACTTTGGGGTGCTCCTTGTGCTTCTTCTTGAGCTCCTCGAAACGCGCCTCCTCCTCCCGGCGCTTCTCCTCATCCAGAGACTTCAGATACTCCCGGCGCTCGTGCTCCTTCATCATCTCGTAGCGCTTGAACTCGTTGTGGTGGTCTGCATCAAAGTTCTCCAGGTGCTTGGTAGCCTGGGAGGGGGAGAGAAAGACCCCAGGTCATCGGGGGTCTCAGTGCTCCCACATCTTCTGGTCCAGGCTACACGTTCCTGTTCCCCTCCCCCAAAGAATCCTTTTTTTATATATATAACTGCCCCCAAAGGGGCAGGGTTTTATTACATTTTTCACATAACATACACAAACAATCATAACATATACATACATACTAACGTACAAACAGATACATGGAGGTTATTTTCATTTTTACCAATATTTATACTGACGCCTGTTCCACCTTAATAACAATTTCTCATGAACTGTGTAAGCAACTTTTCTGTCTCTATCATCCTAACAGGTTTATATTTCATTTAGTAAACTCTTAGTCTGTCTCTTGCAAGCTTGCCTACATATGTTTATCAAACCAGTTGTAGAACCGTGACCAAATATTCTGGAATGTCGAATCTGTTGCACCTTTTATCAATAAAGTCAATTTATCCAATTCCGCAGCCTCCAAGATTTTGTTTACAAGTTCTTGTTTTGTTGGCATCTCCGGTAATTTCCAATATTTTGCATAGAGAATTCTAGCCGCCGTAGTTAGAAAAACAATCAAATAGCGATCATCTTTGTTAGAATTATCAGGTAGAATATTCAACAACAAAGCCTCTGGTGTAAATGGCACTACAGTACCTAGTACCTTTTGCAAGATTTCGTGTACCATTCCCCAATATTTCTTAGATTTTTCGCAATGCCACCACATGTGGTAAAATGAGCCAACCTTATTTTCACATTTCCAACAGTTATTAGGACATTTCGGGTCAATTTTAGCTAACCTTTCAGGTGTTACATACCATCTATAAAACATTTTATATACGTTTTCTTTATACTGAATAGCATTCGTAATCCTAATATTTTTCTTCCATATTTGATCCCACTGCTCTAATTTAATAGTATGCCCAATATTCTGCCCCCATTGAATCATATTCCCTTTTACTATTTCATCCACCATTAAATCATCAAGTAACAACACATAAAGTCTTCGTAAAAGCTTCTAATCCATACCCCCCCAAAGAATCCTGAAGACGCAACACCTCTGATCACTGCCTGCCTGCCCCATTCCAGTGCACTCCTGTGCCCCAGCCTGGTGGAATCAGTTCCCACTGGAGATCAGGGCCCTGTGGGACCTTCTATCATTCCACAGGGCCTGCAAAATGGAGCTGTTCCACCAGGCCTTCGGTTGAAGCGGTGGGCGTCTACCTCAGTTGGCCTCCCTGCTTTAGTTCCCAACCTGCTGAAAGGGCCCATCTGATTCCACCTTGTGGCCCCATCAGATTTATATTGCTGCTACCAGTTTTATTGTTTATTCTTTTTATGATTTTAATGTGATTTTACTGTAATGAGTCTTTGACTCGATTTGTTGCAATCCGCCCTGAGCCCGTTTGGGGAGGGCGGAATAAAAAACCCCCGGAAACTAAACAAAATCAATAAATATAAAAGTGGCGCAGAAGGGAACACTCCACCAAGTATGACTGCCCTCGTCGCAGAGGCAGGAACAGCTGCTCTGAGCAAGACCCCTGCCTGCTGTGCAACTCTTACATATCTATCTATCTATCAGCTCAAGCTGCAAGAAGACCAGACTAAAAGACCATCTAGTCCAGCATGCAGATGACCCGCAGACGCCAAAAAGCAGGGCTAGGAAGCAACAACTTCCTGTACTATCTCCCCCAGGGATGCCATCTTCCAGGTAGGACCTGGGGATCCCCCAGAATTACAGCTCATCTCCAGACTACAGAGATCAGTTCCTCTGGAGGAAACAGATGCTTTGGAGGGTGGGCTCTGCTGTGGCATTGTGCCCCACTGAGGTCTCTGTCCTCCCCAGGATCCATCCCCCAAATCTCCAGGAGTTTCCCAACCTGGATCTGGCAACCCTAACCCCATCCCCAGCTGGTAGCCAAAGGCGACCCGGCGACCCTATCCCCTCCATCTGATATTCAGCAGCCTATTAACTTTGAACCGGGAGGTTCCATTGAGCTAATGTCGATAGACGTATCCCTGCCTTCAGTTTTCTAACCCTTTTCAAAGTGGTCTAAGCTAGCTGCCCCCATCGCTAAAACTCCCAGAGTTGCTGTGAGAATGAAACAGAGAAGGGGAGAAGTGAGGGTGCAACCTTGAGGGAAGGCAGACTAAACGTACATTAGCTATTAGTGGCTGAAGTCAAAGCTGGAGGGTTTCTTCTTGAGCTCCTCGAAACGCGTCTCCTCCTCCCGGCCCTTCCCCTCCACGAGCTTCCCCTCATAAAGGGAACTTTCCTCCAATCTGCACCTCTAGCCACTTTCTCCGTACCACACATCATTTTATAAAGACCGCTACTGTGTCTCCTTTAACCAGACTTTCTTCACGAACGGAGAAGCTCCAAATGCTTCAGCCTTCCCTCCTGTTTGCTCAAAAGGGATGCGCAACAACTTCCTCCCAAACGAAGGTGCATCGGAGGTCTGCTTGGGTTCAGGCGGCACTGTCCCAGTTGACCTCAGCAGTGCTGCCCCCACCCTTTCATCCGCCCATCAGAATGTGTTTTTTCAAGAATGGAGTGACTTTAAAATATATTTGGAAAAGAACTGGGATGTGAAACAAAATTTAATATGTTTAGAGCAATACTAAGCCAAATGATGTTATCTTAAGATTATAATGATAAGAAAATGATATAACTGACGATGTAAAGTAATGTGGAGTGGGGGGGGGAAGCATTGCGGGAAGCCACTGGAGAGAGGGGAGGAAAAGGGAATGGGGTAGACAATGGAAAGGATGAAATGGTTTATTTCTATATGTTGAATTCCTAAGGAAAAATAAAATTTGTTTACCAAAAAAAAGAAGAATAATAATCTGGATGGGTGTTCAGATTCAGAACGTGCTGTGCTTATCCAAGGCCAGCCACAAGAAACAGACAAAGCACAAGCAGACAAAGTGGGTCAGGACACGCTCTGCTTTGTAGATTAGCAGCAGCACAGGGGGGGGGGGGATACAGGGAGACACTGTTGCCTCCCAGATGAAAATATACGTGAGAACCACAGTGCAACCCTATGCAGAAATACTCCAGCCTAGGCCTATTAAAATCAATGGACCTAGAACAAGAGTCACTCTGCAGAGGACTGGACTGGATCCTTACAACATGCAGTACCCTGAAATACTCTAGAGAATCTCTTCCTCCACGGCTGCACCCCCAGGAACAGAAAAGGGGCAGAAATGGAATACTAGGGACGTCAACCAAGTAGAGACATCACTCTGCCAACAAAAGTCCGTATGGTCAAAGCAATGGTATTCCCAGTAGTCATGTATGGCTGCGAGAGTTGGACTATAAGGAAGGCCGAGCGCCAAAGAATAGATTCTTTTGAACTATGGTGCTGGAGAAGACTCTTGAGAGTCCCTTGGACTGCAAGGAGAAAAAAAACAGTCAATCCTAAAAGAAATCAACCCTGACTGTTCCCTGGAAGGCCAGATAATGAAACTGAAGCTCAAATACTTTGGCCACCAAATGAGAAGGGAGCACTCCCTGGAGAAGACCCTGATGCTGGGAAAGATTGAAGGTCAAAGAAGACGGGGACGGCAAAGGATGAGATGGTTAGACAGTGTCATAGATGCAACGAACATGAAATTGAGCAAACTTCAGAGGATAGCGGAAGACAGGAGGGCCTGGCGGGAGCTGGTCCATGGTGTCGCGAAGAGTCGGACTCAACTGTGCGACTGAACAACAACAACAACCAAGTTATTCCCCGGTAAAGTTGCCAGCTGATCAACCAGCATGTGTAGCTGTGCCTTTTTAAATACCAGCTTGATAACATTCACCCGCAGGCTGCAAGAAGCATCCCCAGCTATTGCTTCCAATCACGCTGCACAGCTGCAGAGGCCGGGTGACAAGCTGGCAATCCTATCAGCAGCAGGAACCGCGGACATCCTCATGCAAGATTTGGAATTCTGCACTCAGCACAATCCCATTTTTCTGAAGTCACAGAAACAAACCCCACCACCTTCAAGGTGTTGTAAATGTGCTGAATGGAGGGGTGGGAGCAAGGGCAGGATGTCAGGGCGTTTCTGAAGACCCAGAAGTGCATTTTAGCCACGTGAAACAGGATGCTATTTGGACTTCCAAGGCAAGAAGCAAGTCAGCAATAGACAAAAACAGCCCAGTTGACTTTCTGTTTTGAAAGAAATGAAGCAAAGAGGATGAGACATACAGTCTGAATGAGCAGCTCCAAGTCTCGGGCTTCGAAGGTGTGTTGGTTTTGAGGGTCCAGATGCTCAAACTGCTTCAGTAAAGTCCGGTGATCGATCTGGACGTCTGCGAACAAAAGAGACGGGGAAACTAGTTACAGATACAATTCTGCATCTGTAATTTAAGCAGGCTACACAGGACAAGTTTATCAACAGTGACACCAACAGCAATCTCAGTCTGCCCTCTGAACTCACCTTGTTCCATGGTGGCATCCATCTTGGCCTTCAAAAGCATCCGAAGCCGGGACACTTCCTGGCGCTTCAGTTCATCTAGTTTGGTGCGGACGTGGTGGCTGACAAAATCCAGCTCTTTGCTGAGTTTCCCACTCTGAAAGACAGAAGAGAAAGAGCAAAAGATAGAAATTATTCTCAGTCCACAATGTTCCCTATGAGCTTTGCTTGAAACTAACCAGTCCCCATATAAGTACCAGCAAGAAGAGTCCCATATCAAAGATCCAGTGCATCCACTTCTACTGCAAAAATCCACATGCAGGAAATGCTGCATTTTGCTATTTAACCAAATCCTCGCTTATACCACCAGATCCTACACAGCAATTTGAATATCCCAGATCACCTTGATGTCCTCTGCGTTTGCCGCTTGGAGCTTCTCTCGGAAGTGCCCGTCTGTTTCCAGCACATTGATGACTTCCTGCAGGTAGCGGTGGTAAAACAGGCCTGTGTCCTGCGTGAAAAACAAAGGAGCCAGGAGTCAGGCTAACTGGGGAGGGGCCTTCACTCAGTGATACTGCAGCCAGCAGGTCCCAGGTTGAATCTCTGGCACATCTAGATGAAAAGATCTCAGGTACCAGGTGCTTGGAAAGACTTTTCTCAGCCTGAGAAACAGGAGAGCTACTGCCAACCAATGGCTAAAGGTTTTTATGGGCCCTGGACTTACGGTCTTCTCCATCACAGTTCCTTTCTCTCCAGCCTCCCCCACACCCACTGTGAAAGAGACTGGAGCATGAGTCATGCTGGATGGCCTTTTTAGTCCAACAGCACCAGCAGATCTAAAAACAGCAGAAAAGAGTCGGGGCTCTTCTGCTTCTAAGTGCCCCTCCTGCAAGGAACAGAAGTTCACTCAGAAGCCCCTGGCAACTTCACAAGCTCTGAGATCAACTTCCTGTTTCCTTTCTGGAATAATATTTGTGGGAGGCAGTAAAACACAGGATTCTCTTGATCTCTGCTTCTTCCACAGCTGCCCAGCCAACCCCCAACACGGTCTCCCCCACTGGGATAGAGATCTGGCTTGGCAGGTTCCCCTCTTAAGGTATGTTCATTGACCTCACTATCTACTCAAGAACTTAGCACCCCCACTTTTCCAAATGTGTCTGGAAGGTCTCCAATTTAGTCAATTTAAGTCCCAATGCTCCAGGATAATTTGTATGAGGAGAGGATCAGGGGACCCTGCAAAAAACTGTGATGTGGGGACCAAAATAGCCCATGACAGAGCTGGTCCTGGATCTTGGTGCTACCAAGGAGACATCATCTTAGTCATGTGTTTTCCCTGTCTGAGCATGCAGAATGAGGAGGCGTTCTGCACAGCTAGGGAAGTACATCAGTTGTTCCAAACTTTGCCTTGCTTCCTGTATTTCTGTTTCTGTCCAACCAACCAAGTCTTCAGCAGTGTAGGACAGAGGCAAGAAAAGCTGCACCAGCAAATATCAGGCTACTTTTAAAACTTGTCAATCCAGCCACTAACAGACTTCCCTAGCATGCGCAAAAGCATCTGAAAGCTGCTTTTGCAGAGAGTGGAGAACCTAGCACTTACCGCTGGGTCTGGGGGAGGTTCCGCCTCTTGCTTCTCCTTGGGCCGTTCAATGGGCACACAGGTTGCCAGTCCCAGAAGGGCAGCACTTACAAGCCACGTTAGATGCATTGCTGTGTGCGCGCGTCACCTGCAATAAGAATGTAAGAGCTGAGAAAGAGTTCCATTGCTGCTGGAACAGACTTGCCCTTGGAGAGGCCTCCAACTAATGATGAGGCCATGCATACACAGCAGAATAAGACAGCACAACAGACTAACAGCAGATGAGAGATCACACCTTTACCACTTCCATGTATAAAGGAACATTTCTTTCTAAGAAGACTGGCACAGAAGGAAGGAGACTGGGCTAGAAGCTCACCCTAATGCAGTAGATGCTTACTTGCATTCTTTTCATTTGTTTAGAGTCCAGTGGCACCTTTAAGACCAACAAAGTTTTATTCAAGGTATGAGCTTTCGTGTGCACGCACACTTTTTCAAATACAATGGAACGGAAGGTAAGGTTCACAACTTATAGGCAGGGGCTGAATGGCAAATTAACATGTAACATGATGAAGATGTGCCAAGACAAAACTAAATAACAAGCTAAGGTTATAAGGTCAACAGTTGTAAAGCAATAAATCTGTCAAAATAGCAGATAAATGTGTAAAGGTATCTTCTCTAGTTGTGGGAAGTAAACTGATACTCTCCATTCTCTCCTCTCAGGTGTGGCAGTCACTTAACAGCATTTTTTTTTCTTTTTTGAGGTGGATGCAGCAAAACACCCCAATCTTCCTTGCATTACTTTCAATATTCTAATATACTATTCTGAAAAAGAAATACACTAAAATACAGAGGATGTATAGTCCTTCTTGTTGAGAATACATATGTGAGGACTGAATGAGTTACCATATGTAATAAGATAAGAAACCAATATCCCTGTTGAGTCCTGGGGAGGTTTTTGTTCCAAATGTAGTAATAACTTGAAATCCAGCAATTTCCCTCTCTATTCTGTTCATGAAGTTCCTTTGTAATAAAGCAGCTACTTTGAGGTCACCCCTTGAATGTCCTAGAAGGTTGAAGTGTTCTCCTACAGATTGCTCAGGCTTGTGATTCCTGATGTCAGATTTGTGTCCATTTATCCTCTGGCGCAGGGTTTGTCCTATGTAGAGGACCGAAGGGCATTGCTGACATTTATATTAACAATGCCCTACAGTCCTCTGCTATAGAAGCTCACTGGAGAACCCTGGGTCAGTCCTCTCTCAACTTAACATACCTCATAGGGTTGTTATTGTGAGGATAACGGAGAGGAGAACGTCATATGGGTCTCCATGGTGCAAATATGGGCATAAATACACATGCAAAACAGCTTCTCTTCATCAGAATGTTTGCTACCCGGCTTCTGTAGAAGGCATACAAGAGGCCACAGAAAATGAGGACGGAAAAAACCAGTGGGGCAGTGTTCCCTCTAAGCTGTGTGAGTTAGCTCACAGTTTTTTAGCCTCCAGCTCACACGTTTTTGTCTTAGCTCAGGAAGGATGGCTTTGGAGATCTAATTTATGCCGTAGCCAAACCACTTGCTCACAACTTTAATGCCAAGAGCTCACAAAGTAGAATTTTTGCTCACAAGACTCCACAGCTTAGAGGGAACATTGCAGTGGGGTAACGTCAGCAGTGTATGCCCTGTCACTGAAATTCTGTGGACAGCGTGAGCTCTGACATTCAAGGCAGAAACAGGACAGTGGAAGAAAAGGCTCTCCCACGTTACCATAAAAATATACTGGCACCACCTCTACAGAAAGCAAAAATCTAACCCCACAAGGCAGGCAAAGCTTCCCACCAAAACGGCTCAAATCCAGAGTCCAGAGGCTCCTCGGAGGAAGTGCCGAGGGGCTCCTCTCCCATTAGCCGGTCCCCGGGAATTACAAGGCCGGGCTTCCAGATCAGAGCGGACCTTGAGCCCCTGCAGGTATCATTTCGCAAACCCAATCGCATTCCTACAGGCCCCAGGACAGCCTTGAAACAGGAGGGATGACAGCACAGAGCTTTATTCTCCTAGAAGTCTTATTCCCCCCTAGGGCTAGGGATGGCTTATCGGTGAACAAAAACTGCACTTTGCCCATGTTCAAAAAACCCTTCCTCCCCTTCACTACAGCCACAAGACTGTGCCATGACACAGCAAATAAATCCAGAGGCTTAGCCGTGAAAGTAACGCCAGCTACCGGGGCCAACCCACGCTGTCTTCCCGATTTACCTTGATTCAGTAGGAACGCGAATATTCCCCTACCTTCGCGACCCCGCAGAACACTTCCTCTTGTTAAGCCCCGCCCCTATATCTGCATATTGAGCCCCGCCCCTTTCCTCCCGCTTATGGACTTCGACACCTCTCGTGTCACGTCCGGCGCTTCTTGCTGCGTCACGGCGTATTTTGCATAGGAGGCCGCGCGGGAAAGGGGAGGAACGCCTCCTTTTCCAGATTTTTCGCGTAGCCAATGGAGGAGTAGGTGGGTTGGTGGCAGTGTTTGTTGCCGCCCCCTAGCCTGTCTGGAATGTTGGAAGCCGCTACTGGCGTGCGTGCAGTAAATAAGAAAAGCATATTTCTGATTGGCAGCATGAGAAGAGTGCATTCTTCTTATAGAGGAGTCATATATTAGGGGAGTTTGCATGGGAGAAATTCAATAGAATGAGGCTGCAGACTGCAGAGGGCGACTTTGCTCCAAAGCGAAGGCAAAACAAAAGGCACACGATACTTTGTATTAAACTTCTTCACCCAAAGAGTGATTAACACTTGGAATTCACTGCCACAGGAAGTGGTGGCGGCTACAAGCATGGACGGCTTCAAAAGGAAATTAGATAAGCATATGGAGCAGAGGTCCATCAGTAGCTATTAGCCACAAGGTATAGATAGGGGCTCTGGGGCAAGTGATGCTCTGTCTTCTTGGTGCTAGGGGGGGTCAACAGTGGGAGGGCTTCTAATGTCCTGGCCCCACGGGTGGACCTCCTGATGGCACTGGTATTTCTGGCCACTGTGTGAGATAGAGTGTTGGACTGGATTGGCCTGATCCAACATTGGCGTCTCTTATGTTCTTATGTTTCATTGGGGTTGGTCTTCATAAAAGGCGTTATATGGATTAATAAACTGGATTTCTTAATATATAAAAGGTTTTACGTGGCTTTTTAGAAATTCAGTAATAGATTTCTTAACACTGGGGGTGCAAAGATAATAGAATTCATTGTATATAGAAACAACGCTTTTAAAGGGGGGGGGGATAATTTGGATAGGTGCAGTCTTCAAAACTCAAATTTCCCTAACGCAGCAAGACCTTATGATTGCTTTGTCTGTGCAAATGAAGTCTGTATCTTGCAAACATTGCAAAAGATGGTAAACAGATGCGAGAAATACCAGCTTAAGCAGGATGTGGGAGTTTAATATATAGAGCACCCCAAAGAAAAGTACCATTGAGTTGCTTCATAAGGCACATGATTGAAAACTGGGCCCATTTCTGGAGGGAAAAGTGTGGAAATGTGTTTTAAGATACAATAACATTTAAATATGTTTTAATATAATACTTTGTATTTGCATAGTATTCTCAATGTTCAGGGCACATCTTTAAAATATTTACATGTTGTCTCTCCCTTCTCTATAAGAACATAAAAGAAGCCAATGTTGGATAAGACCAATGGCCCAACCACTCCCACACTCTGTCACACTGGCCATAAATACCAGGTGCCATCAGGAGGTCCACCAGTGGGACCAGGACACTATAAGCCCTCCCACTGTTGCCCCCCCCCAGCACCAAGAATAAAGAGCATCATTTGTCCCAGACTGAGAGTTCCTATCTATACCTTGTGGCCAGGGGTCATTTCATGGAAAAAGAGGTGCAGGAGCTCATTAGCATAACTCATTTGCATATGCCACACACCCTGACATTGCCGGAAGTGTGTCAGAAGGCAACACCTGTTTTGGATTGCTAGCTATTGGGGGGGGGGACATGCAGATCTATCCTCGCAGAGGAGGGAGAGCTTGTACCTGAATAAAACTTGATCTTAAAGGTGCCACTGGACTGTTTTGGACCGGGGGCTCTGCAGCTTACCCGCCTGCTTCTTGCTCTGACTGAGGGCTGCTGGGAGCAGGGGGTGGGGCTTGTTGCATGTGCCCGCCCCCTGAGCTCTTTACTGCCGGAGCTCCGCTTCTGTGCGCTCCTGCAGGAAATGACCCCTGCTTGTGGCTAATAGCCACTGATGGACCTCTGCTCCATATGTTTATCTAATTCTCTGACATCCTAGACAGCTTCACTTGTATTAACTTGCTACAACAGCCCTAGAAGGTGGGCCTCTATCATTATCCCAATATTGTGGGGAGGAGTTAGAGAGAACAGTTTGCTTGAGTTTGTAGCAGAGGCAAGGTTTGAACCAGGGATCTTCCACATTACAATATATCCTCATAACCAAAGGTCATTTCGGGGGGGAACGTGGGGGATCGCAGTTCCCCCGGGTGAGGTACGAGGGGCGGGGCACCTGGCGAAGCCCCTCCCCCTGCTTCCGGCCGCCCCGCTTCCGGCCCTCATTCAGCCAGGAGGAGGCAGGAGAAGAGGGAGGATAAGTTGCTTCCTCCCTGCCTCTCCCCACCCCTGCCTGGGGCCAGGGAGGGCCTTCGCGGGGCTTCCTTGCACTCCCACCGGCCTTGCAGGTCCACCGCCGGGCCCCTCATGGGGCTCAGCAGTGGAGCTGCAAGGCCGGCGGCGGCGGCTGGGACCGTTGGGGGTGGGGTGTGTGGCTTTATGACACACTTCCGGGGATGTCAGGGGGTGTGGCATATGCTAATGAGTTATGCTAATGAGTTCCCCTAGCCCTTTTTCTACGAAACGACCCCTGCTCATAACCAATATGCTATAGCAACTGATATTTGAGACTCCCTCCAGTTAGGAACCCTTCTCACATAAAAGGCAGGGACATGAATGTGTAGTCAGTGGCTGTGGGATAGGTAGGACAAGCAAGAGTATGGAGTATGGAAACTCAACCCAAGAAGGGTAAAGATGAAACATTTCCCTGCTGCCCAGTTAAGGTAGAGTCCCTGTGTCACATTCCTCAACCCACTTGAACCACCTACGTGGTATCAGAACTGGTGTTCTCAAGACAGAAGGGCCCCTGCGCATCCCATTGTTCGTACATTCTGGAATGGAATGCTTTTTATGCTTTGTGGTTCAACACTGCCATGGTTTAACTATTGTCCATTCAGAAAGGCTTCTCTTTTGAGCACCAAAGGATTTAGGATTTTTGGGCAGTTGCAGGGAGCTGTTTTTGTGATGTCGTGTTTTTTAAAAAAGAATTCCAGACTTTTCTCCTCCAGTTGATCCGCCAACCTCCTCTCCTGAGGGGAATTTGCTCTTTGCCCGCAGCAATGCTGTCCGAGGTACTGTGGTGTCCTTGCAAAGCCTGACTGGGCTGCCCAAAACAGACCTAAACACTGGCAATACAGTGGATTCCTAGAGAGGACAGAGCGCACATGCTCTCCCAAAGAGAAAAGAGAATGAGATAAATAGGTTTGCCAGCTCTGGGTTGGGAAATACCTGGAGATTTGGGGGGGGGGTGGAGCCTGAGGAGGGCGGGGTTTGGAGAGGGGAGAGACTTCAATGGGGTGTGATGACATAGAGTCCACCTTCCACGGTGGCCATTGCCGCCGGGGAAACTGACCTCTGTTGCCTGGAGTGGAGATCAGTTGAAATCCCAGGCGATCTTCAGCCATCACCTGGAGGTTGGCAACACAAGAGAGAAAGGAAAATGTGTCCTGTGGATTTTTAGTTCACTGTTTTATTTATGGGGAGGGAGGGAGATGATTATGTGGGGCCAAACCACAAGGAGGATTGAGAAAGGGGGTAGGGGGGCGATTTGTTCCTCCATTTTTCTCCACTAGAAATCGAGGTCACCTAGTAAAATTGGGTGGCTGTTAGCTATGGATTATAGAAAAGGAATTCTTGGACACAACACAACATGAACTTAAGGGAATTCATACACGGACCTTTAAACACACAACTTGTTAAGTGCCTCAATGTCCACATTTCCCACATTCACTCAGGGTTATCAGGTCCCCCTTGGCCACCAGCAAGGGATGGGGGCATAGGGTTGCCAGATCCAGGTTCAGACAGGGACCTCAGTGGGGTAAAATGCCCTACAGTCCACCCTCCAAAGCATCTGATTTCTCCAAGGGATCCCTTGGCATCCCTAACTCCTGCACATGCACAAACAGCAAGTTGCTTCCTGCACAACTGAATCACGTGCATATTCTCATTTGCAAGCCTACCAATTTATGTGTGTGTTCACCAAAGTACACTTTCCCACTTGGTCACCGGCAGGTGCAAATACATGCCAGGTGCTCAACATGGCGAATAGCTGTTCTCAGGCCCACTCCCAAGGCCCTGTACACAACGCAGCTTTCAGAGCAGAGTCTTAAGATGGGCAAAGCTGATTAAGGCAAGAGACAAGCTGATGCTTTTGGAGGTGGGGGAGGAGGAAGCCCTGCATTGCCTTCCGCTTGTCTTCGCTGACGGTAGTGTGAAGGCACCAGCCGAACTGGAGAGGAAAAGCCAGATCCAGCCTTATACTTGCTGTTCTTGGAGGGCCTAGAACTCCTGGGTTCCCTGGGAAGAGGGTGAGTAATAAAGGAGGGAGGGAAACCAAGAAACTTTGGATTCTCAGAGGTCAGAATCTGGTTTTCTCATAACTGATTGTGAGCTGCCCTGGTGTCTTGTAGCAAAAAAAGCAAGGATATCAGCATCTTGAACAAAGTATGCATTTTAAAAATGATTGTTGAAAGAATGAAGTGCCTTTGGCCACCTGAAGTCTCAGCAAGGGGAGTTTGGCTTGAGTGATTTGTGGCAAGGGAAAGGGAAAGCAAGAAATGCCTGGTTTCCTCAGGGGGGAGAATTTGATCTGACGGTGCTGTTCCCTACAGAAGTGTAGAATCAGAATTAATACAGACAGATCCATTAGGCCTCCTTTCCCTTCTCTCTTCTGCTTGCCAGATGCAGTCGGATCCTATTCCGGTGGCACCGTCTCCAAGACCTGATGTGTAAGTTTGGGGGCTGCTGTGGTGTGCATTTGTGCATGCGTTTGTGTGCACGCGCGTGTCTGCGAGCTCTCTTTCTTAATCCCTGGTGAGCTAATTCTGTCAGGTCCATCCTGGAAGAATAAGAAATGCCAAGAGGAGGCCTTCGTGCTTTTAATCCACGCCTTGAGGTCAATGGCATTGAAGAACTCACTTGCAAGGCCGCCGTCAGAAGACACCTCTTTTGCTACAGCCTTCACCCGTTGAGAAAAAATAACAGTTTAGC